GAAAATTCTGCATCTCCCCAATGTAGGCAGAGGGCAGATGGCACTGTGACTTTTTACTGAAGAGGAAGCCAGCTGGCGCATGCTCAATAACCAGCTGGGGGCCTTGGCCCAGGCAGGGGTTCCAGGCCTCCTGCTTCCATAAATGGGCTTTGTTCACTGGGACTCCGTGCTGTTTCCATGTCGGCCCAAGAATGAGTGGGAGCCACGTGAGCCCTGTGCCCTCGCCTTTCTGCACAGGGATGAGTTTCGGGAAGGCACAAGAGTGAGGGTGACCAAGGCAAAAATGGCCATTTCTGTTATTGAAAAAACCCTCCACAACTAGACCTCACAAAAATAACCACCAAAAGTAAGTCAGAGAGTCTGTACCTTGTTGAGGGAGGCCGGGTGATGTTGTGAGTTTCAGCGTTTGAGCCCTCAGACCCAGAAAGCCTGCCCTCCATTCTTGTACCACCACTTTCTGCTTGTGTGACCTTGGGCAAGATGGACAGTCTTTCTGTGCCTCCGTTTCAGCTGGAAGTGGGGAGACCAATTGTGCCCCTCCTGAGGATGGTAGAGAATTTAATGACTACTGCATGAAGATCTCGCATCTATAGTAAATGCTGCCCATCCTATAAGCAACATCATGAGAAGCCAATTGTTAAGGATTTAATTTTACTTGAATTCACCGTCAGTGCCCTTGGAAGCAGCAGTCAAGGCGTCAAATGACGGATTACTACTCTTTGAAAATCTGCTGCAAAAGACCTCTTTCAAGTGTTACGAGGCAAAGATGATGCTTCGAGGACTCCTGTGCCCTTGACCCGAGCCATGAACCATGGCATTTCAGTCACCTCCCAAGCACGTGAAAGTTGGGCGACGAAGAAGGAAGACTGGTGAAGAATTGGTGCTGGCGAAGAGTACTGCGGGTTTGCCAGAAGGACCCACAGACGTGCCTCGGAAGAAGCACGGGCAGAATGGGCATTCGAAGGGAGGCAGTGAGGCTTCATCTCACGCACGTTGGACATGTTCGTGGAGGGACCAGTCCCTAGAAAGGACATCATGTTTGGTTAAGAATCGTGTCTGGTCCGTGCAAGAGAGAACGATCTCCAACAGGGTGGCTGGACACAGTGGCTGCCACGTTGCCATTGTGAGGATGGCTCGGGCCCAGGCGGTGTTCGGTCGGGTTGCGCGTCACCATGCGTTGGGGCCAGCGCGATGGCACCCGCAACAACAAGGTGGTATCTGAAGCAGTTCCTGGGGACACATTCCCCCTTCACTGTGACCGCCACTGAGCTCTAACTCCAGCTTCTGTGATTTCCCCAGAGGTCTCAGTGTTGTCCCTGATGAAGAAGTCATTGACATGTATGAGGGGTCCCACGTGCCCTTGGAACAGATGAGTGACTTTTATGGAAAGGTAACGATAGAGATGCTAAGTATTTAAGGGAGCCTGCCTTTTTTCCTTCTGCCCTTATGGCCTTAAACTAGGAGTTTGGCCTATTAGACTCCCTTACTGCTCATTTAGAATTACCAGGGAAACGCGAGATTATGTTTTGAGAGACCCGTGGTGCAGCGGTCAAAGTCTTGGCTACGAACTGCAAGGTCATCGGTTCAAACCTAGCAGCCACTCCAAGGCAGAAAAGACTGGAGATCGGCCCCTGTAAACATTCCACCTTAGGAAAAACCCGATGGGGAGTGAGCATCGCTGAGAGTCGGGATGGCCTGGCAGCACCCAGTAGCCATGATATGGGAGAGGGGACTCAGTTGTTACAGAGAATTGTCCCCTTTCTCAGCTTCTTTGTCCAAACCTACCTACCCGACTACTGGGCTTGTTTATCATTAGAAATTTCACCTGGGAGGAGGGTTTTGAATACCTGCCACCACAATCCCCTGGCGTGAATGGGCACTTCCTGCTTCTCCCTAATGCATGGCTGCATCTTCGCCCAGGCACCTTCTGTGTCTAAGGTGTGCTTCCCTTTGTCGGCAGAGTTCTCATGGAAACACCATGAAGCAGTTCATGGACATCTTCTCCCTGCCAGAGATGACCCTCCTGTCCTGCGTGAACGAGTACTTTCTGAAAAACAACATCGACTACGAGCCTGTCCATCTCTACAAAGATGTCAAGGTTGTACCAGTTTCAGCGGCTAAGAGGCTGCATTCTTCCCTGTTAGCTCAAAGCCACAGAATCCCTACTCACCTTTACCGATTCAGTCTTTTCAGTGGTCTCTCGGCCGGGATCTCTTTGGCTTGTGGTTGAATCATGAAATCCAAAGAAAAGATGATGTCACATTATGAGGCTTGATAAGCAGTCAGGGTTTTCCTAAAAAAAAAAAAGATGGTGTTCACCGCTTTCCTGGATTTTAAATCCATTTTGATCAAAAAGAGCAGGGCTAGTGCACCTGCTAAAGGTACCTAGGCCGTTCCCTGCTACCCCAGAGCCTGCCTGCCCGCAGGACTGTCATTGCCCAGACCAAAGTCCAGGGCTGTCTGTCTGTTCCCGAGACCTGTCGCAGAGTAGAACTGCTCTCTCGGACTTCCCAGGAGTGCTCTGTAGGGAAGCAGGTGATCTCCAGCCCTTTCTTCCGTGGCACTGTTAGGTGGGCTCCAGCCGCCAACCGTTGGCTTAGTAGTTGAGTCCAATCTGTTTGCTCCACCCCTTTATTCCGAGGCACACCAAGGTTCCACGTGGGCCCTGCAAGCCCCTGCAGAAGCCATGCAAGAATCCACTTGGAGAGAGAGGTGTACATAGATGTTGAAGTTTTAATTTGTACACACATTCACATTTACACGTGCCGCTATACACTCTTGAAGCTTTTTTCAACCTTAAAAATCAACTTTGTAGACGATTATGCTTTCAGGTAGATCTGTATTTTTAAAAGCTACATATTGACACCCCAAAGCAGACCTGCGCCTCGGTTTCTGAGACTCCCAGCCTCTGTGGGAGTAGGCGACCTCATCTTTCCCCCGCATGTTAACAATATGGCTTGTAAATTACTGCTCAACTCAGGGGACTTTATTCAGAACTGTTTACCCAAATGGTCTCTCCACGAATTGCATTGGAAAGAGCCATCGCTATGGAAATGTAAGCTCTCCCGGAGGGGCCGCCAGAATCGAGACTCTGCTGTCGTGCTTGGCCTGCAGGCGGTTTAAAGGGAGGAGTGCCGTGGGTGAATGCTGCTTGTTTGCCTTGCTCGGCAGGCTGCTCTCTCGGTTGTGTCCCCACTGACAGAACGTGTCTTTTGCCAGGACTCCATTCGTGACGTTCACATCAAAGGGATCATGTACAGAGCCATCGAAGCAGACATCGGTAGGCACCGGGCATCGTCACTGCAGCGCGCCAGCCTTCCCCTCCGCAGTTTGCTCTGCCTTCTGGGGATGGAGCAGGTGCTGCGTGCGCTTGCGTCTTTGCGTCTCAGGCTTCTCCCCACGCCTAGTTCTAGAACGTGACAGGACCCCAGCTCTGAAGGAGGAGAGCGGGCAGTGTTACTCTTTTCTGTTTAGGTAGAGGATGCTCTGATGCTTTCCTCACTGAGGCTCTGGGTACTCATCCTTTGGGTACTCATACTCTCCTGATGCTCTGGGTACTGACCCTTAGTGTTGTTCTCTTTACTGATGCTCTGGGTACTGATATTCTGGGTTCTGGTGCTCAGGGTACTGATATTCTCCTATTGATGCTTGGGGCACCCCGAACCACACTTCCTTAAGACTTTTGTTCCCCTACCATGCCACTGACCCCACTTAATCTTCACACACCGACGGGTTTCAGGTTGACTCTGGGTGTGAATTTTCCCCTCTTGGTCTTAGAAAAGTACATCTGCTACGCCGAGCAGACGCGCGCGGTGCTGGCCAAGCTGGCGGACCACGGCAAGAAGATGTTCCTCATCACCAACAGCCCCAGCAGCTTTGTGTGAGTGCTGCTCTTTCCTCGCTCGCTCTGGCTCACCGTATCCTGTTTATCCCCAAACGGTTGCAAAGCCAAGAGAACAAGTTGCAGAAAGAGCTCTTAACACTAGACTCACCTGGCTGACCTGTTGTTCCAGGGACAAAGGGATGAGGTACATTGTCGGCAAAGACTGGAGGGACCTCTTTGACGTGGTCATCGTGCAGGCTGAGAAGCCAAACTTCTTTAATGATAAGCGGAGGTGAGTATCTGTCTGTAAGGGGCTCAGCTTTACTCTTTTGCTGCAGTGGTTCTGTGTGTAGCGTGTCTTGCTGAAAGCTAGTTGCAAAACCAAGAGCACCAGAGATTGTCGCTTTGAGGATTTTCTAGCAGGTCATTTAAGAAGGATGAGGCTGATACTGAGCAGCCAACTGACCTTGCTGGAAGTGACTCTCAGTTCAGCTTGCTGTACGACCAATATGCGAGTCCCACTTTTAAAGAAACGGTTGATAGCAACCAAAACGCCAGGGTAAGTTAGGTCTTTTGATGTAGATGTCTTGTGAAATGTAGACCAGCAGCAACATCTCCCCTAACAGCTCTGCCCCATGCCTTTCAAATTGTGGTTGGACTTTGCAGAGCATCCCTGGGACACCAGTTCCTCATCGAGTTGGGGAAGCCTCAGCCAAGACCTCAGGGCTGCTTTTCTGCATGAGGCTCTCAGGCAGCAGTTCTCAACCTATGGGTTGCAACCCCTTTGGGGGTCGAACGACCCTTTCACAGGGGTTGTCTGATTCATAACAGTAGCAAAATGGCAGTGATGAAGTAGCAAGGGAAATAATTTAATACATGAAGAACTGTATTAAAGGGTCGCAGCATGAGGAAGGTGGAGAACTACAGTTCTAGGGGAACCAGGCACTTTGGGCTTATGACAATGACTGGGTGGGCACACTCCTAGCCTATAGTGGGAGGGAGTCAGGGAGGTAATAAATGACCTTTTTAATATGTGGGATAGGCCTGTTCACAACGAGTTGTCCTACTCAAAAGGCCAAGGGTGTTGAGAAATACAGCAGTGGGGTTAAAAAGTAACTCACAGTGGTCTACTTGCGGACCCAGAGTCCAGCCACCTTCTGTGCTGGGTCTGAGATTCCCTCTGGGGTCTCCTCCAGGCTCTGCTCCCACCCCTGGGAATCACTGAGGCTCGGGCTGCCTGTAAGGGTGTTGGAAGCCTGGCTATGCACCTGGTCCCTCCTGGGCAGTGGCTTCTGGCCCACCCCAGCTTGCTTTGGGATGTTATGAAATTATACCCATTTCTCCCAAGCTGCCTCTCCTCTGCACTGCCTCTCTCCTCTCTGTCCTTCCTCCCTCCCCCCTCCCTTCCTACACTCAGCAAGTTGGAGCTGCAGAGCATCAGGCCGCCTAGGAGCTGGGAACCTACAACAGGTGCCTGCTGGCTTGGTGCTTCCTGTGGGTCTGCCTGGAGACCTGCCCCTGCAGCAGCTGGCAGGAGGGAGTGGAGGTTGTGGAGGGCGTGAGACAGCATAGCCCACCTTTCCAAGGCGGCCTCCTAGAGACCCTTTTTGAGGGAGGGGGCATGCGATAGCTGTTGCCTGCATGCCCACTGCCTTGTTCATGCACCAAATAGTCGGGTCATGTTTTTCATTGGTGTAAATGTGAACGGTCAGATAACAAGGCAGCCAGTTGGTCAGTGAGGAATATGTACCACATAGCAGACCACCTGTCACCATATGTCATCCTGTTTCCCTTTCTGTTGTTAGACCTTTCCGAAAGGTGAACGAGAAAGGCGTGCTGCTCTGGGATAAGATCCACAAGCTGCAGAAAGGCCAGATTTACAAGCAGGTATGCCCTGACCAGCTCCTCCCTCAGCATCGCTTTGCGTGGCCGGCAGCAATAAGGACCAGAGTTAGCACTCGTGGGGCTTCCCGTGTGCTGGGGACAGACCGAGTGCTTTGCTTGAATCGACTCTTGATCACACTGTGCTAAAACTTAGCCTTCCATCAATGTATTTTCCCAAACGCTAGTATCTAAATTAATTCCGAGTTAATTAAAGTGATTAAAAATCTAAAGAAATAAACAGTTTTTGAAAATGTACCTTAAATCATTACTTTCAGGGTATGTAAAACTTAAAGTGCCAATAGAAAATCTTAAAAAATTCTATTTAAGGAGCATTTAACCACACATTTTTTTTTTTTGCCGAAATAGTATTTATTTTCTGAAAAAATGTTGTGTGCCCAGTTTTAATCTATTTTGGTATTATATAAGGTTTTTAAATGTTTGAATTGCCAATCGTGATTGCGTTGTGAAGTTCTTTATTTCTTCAATACGCAATTGTGAATTTGGCAGGATACTTAACAGAATTTAAAAGATTAGCTCGGATCCAGCAATGTCATTTAGTTGGATTAATCTGAGAACATTATTAAGATGTAGAGAAAACGTGATTCTGAGAAGGTTTACCAGGAAGTGTTTAACAGAATCGATCACAATGTTAAATGCCCAGCATCAGGGGATTTGTGAAATGAATCACGGTACAGGTGGGAGTGAAGCTAAAAGCTATCAAAAAAGACAGCTTACTGCCATCGGGCCACTGCTGACTCAGCAACCCAAAAGGCAGAGTAGAACTGGCCCTTGGGTTTCATTCCTGACGGGATCAGAAAGCCTCATCCTTCGCCCTCGGAGTGGCTGGTGGGTTTGAGAGCAGCCAGCCGATGTGTAACCCTCTACGTCATCAGGGCTTCTTACTGGAATCAAAGGACAGATGAATGCTACATAAAACCAAACCAAAACCAAAAACAAGCAAACAAAACCCCAAACACAAAAGCACTGCCCTTGAGTCTGTTCCAACTCACAAGGACCCTGTAGGACAGACTGGAGCTGCCCCGGGGGTTTCCAAGGCTCCACTCTCTCCAGGGGTAATTCTTCCTGACCGGACACATGGGTCCAGTGTGGTGAGTGAGGGGAGAATGGTAGCTACAGAGAATGGTATGTATATATAATACAAATCTTCTGACAAGCATATTGGACATAGAAAAAGAGTCTGGAAGATTTTTGGTGTTTGTATTTTGCTGTTTAAACTCTAGAAACCTTGCCTATAATAAAACGAGTATTTTGGAATGTGGATTATAGAGGTATTTTAAGCTGTCATGATATAATATTGTATGTATTTTTCTTTACTCCTAGGGCAATTTGTATGAATTTTTGAAGCTTACCGGATGGAGAGGATCCAGAGTCCTGTATTTCGGTGACCATATATACAGTGACCTGGCGGTGAGGGACCCCTTGTCTGTTTCCTTGTTGATTGAAGGGGTGATGGATTAGTTGGGCTTACTGAGACATTTCTCTCTTGTGAACATTTTTATGCTTTCCTAAAATCTGGCCTAATTTTTTTTAATGACTTTATTTTTACTGAACAGATGGATCAGGGTTGTAAGAAAAAAGGCAAATGAGCAGTTTACTCAGAATTTTATCCGATGGATGATCTTTGCATTTAAGTAATGGTGAGAAATGAAAGGCAGCATCCTTTTTCTGTTCACGAGTACATCGAAACATGTAGAGATGCACGAGACTCTTTTGCCAGCAGTCACGTCTCAAGAGTATAAAATTGGCATATCCATGAAACAGCTCTACGCGTGGAAACGAGGTTTTTCATGCCTCTTAAAATGACTAGAGCAGTTTCATAGAACTGGAATTGTGACTTAATCTGTTATTGGGGCAGGTGTGAGTTATTCGTAATTATGACTATACTCGGGTCCTTGTAGAATGAAGGTACTTACTTGCCCAGTGGTCCAAGCTCGGTGCTGTAGTGCACAGTGCTTAGGGCCGAAGCTGAGGGCACAAGGAGAGGGTAGTCACAGTCTACTGACAAGCCCCAGGGATGTTTCTGAGGCTCTTGGCCCACACTGAGTTGGCCTTACATGTGTGAAAGTAAGGACAAAAGTATTGTGAAATTGCTTGGTCTGACTCTTCCCATCCTTTGTCTATAACTCCGACCCAGTAACTGGGTGGGAGCATGCAGATAAGGTGTAGCAGATCCTAATTCTGGGATCGGGCAGTTTTGCCACTCCACTGGGTCTAAGAGATCCCGCTCAGAGGCAGGGAGAGGAAATCCTGTGACTGAAGAGAGAAGAGTCACTGGCGGAGCATGTGTGTGATCCCTGTCTGAAGTGCCATGCTGACAGCATGAGGCAGGGCAGAGGAGCAGTACTGAGACCATGAGGCAGGGCAGAGGAGCAGTGCTGAGACCGTGAGGCAGGACATTGGGTTTCCTGGCCCACAGAACAAGGCTGAGGCCAAGGGACTATGTGACTGAGAGATCAAGGACCCGAAAGAGATGTGCCTGCGCTGCTGGCTGAGGAAATGCTGCTTCAGACAAAAGACTGTGTCTTGAATGTTTTCTGATCCTCGTTTGTGGGAGTCTGTTAACTTCCCTCATAAAAACTACCAAAAGCCCACTGCTGGCAAGTTGATTTCGACTGAAAGCGACTGTAGGGCAGAGTGGAACTGCCCCTGTGGGTTTCGGAGATGAAATCTTTACAAGAGCAGAACGCCTTGTCTTTCGCCCACAGCCCTGCTGGTGGTTTCAAACTGCTGACCTTGTAGTTAGCAACCCCAACACTGAACCCACTGCGCCACAGAGCAGCCTCAGAAAACCCTTCTCAGGGTAGCTATGAGTTGGAATCACCTTGTTGCATTGGGTTTGGGGTTTGGTTTTTAAGCCTTGGGTATGTTTATGTCACTTTTTCAGAAATCAAATCCACGTTCTACAGTTTGCCATCGTTGTAGGTGTTCATGTATTAGTAGAAAGAAACAGACATACTAACGAAAAGGTTCCAGAAAACCCCCAACCAGTGCAGCAGGTCCTCGGGGCGCACAGAGTGTGGATTCCAGCTTTGGGACAGTAGCCAGAGTGACCCGATCATTTCAGTTAAACATAAACTAAGGGCTGCTGCTCTCCGGAAAACTCCCAGCGGCTCCAAGTGAAAGAGCCTGAGTCCTGGTAGCTGCCTAGGAGGTCTGAAGGGCTCTCACCTCCCCCAGCCCCTGCCCTACCTTTCCCTCTCTCATTCTGCCTGTGCCCCTTTGCTGACCTCCCTCTTCCTCTCCACATATTCCTGCCCCCTGGCCTTTGCCCTGGCTGATCTCCTCCCACATGTTTTCCTACTCTTCCTCCCTCCCTCCAGGCCTCCCTCAGCTTCATCTTTTTTTTTTAATAACCAAACTCCGTGCCATTGAATGCAGTCCTTTTCACAGTGACCCTATGAGGCAGGTGGCACTGGCCCTGCGGGTTTCCGAGACTATAACTCTGTACCGGAGTAGAAAGCCCCATCTTTCTCTC